CAGAGTCCACAACAGAGTCCAACACAGAGTCCAACACAGAGTCCAACAACACAGAGTCCAACACAGAGTCCAACACAGAGTCCACAACACAGAGTCCAACACAGAGTCCAACACAGAGTCCAAAGTGTGTAGTCCAGCTGGCTGTGTCTTGGCTGCGCTGTGTGGGTATAGAAACTTTAAAGCCCCTCAAAGGTTGTTTCATTGATTTCAAGGAGAATCTAACCTGGTGGCAGACATTAAGAGTAACTATGTAGAAATATCCAATCTGGTCTCTGATGGTTTGTTTGTGTGTCTCATGTAGAGGCCTCAGTATTAAACACACATTAAACAAAGTTTATAAACTGTTAAAAACTCCTTGTAGTGTATAAGGTATAAGTTCTGAATACTTATAAATGATAGCTTGGATCTATATGTAGACCAGTATCAGTAATAGATTCATATAAGTTTGACAGAGACTTTAGGCTGTCTCTGTTGTCATGGTTATTCTTCACCAAAATAAAACAGGAACATTTACTGCTCTTTGGTCAGATTGTGGTTTTCTGGCTGGTTTGGTGCAACTGGTGTTCTCTGGTTACAGACCGTATGGAGACTCCTCTCATTGTCCTCAGGCCAACTTGTTTAGAAAGCTTAGATTTCACTTTAACTGTCATCAGCTCACAACCTGAAACCTCCAGTGTTTGCTGAAGCAGTTTCTTTTCTCTTCTCTGGCAGATGATGGAGGGATGACAGATGAGAGCCAGCAGAGGAACTCGGAGAAGCAGGTAGACCTGCCTCAACATGTCGTGCTCATATTATTAAGTCAAACTCTGTTTTCTAGATCAAAGACCAGGACTCCTCCTCCCTGACAGAACCAGAGAGGAGCATCAGATAGTTCTCTTGTCTTCAGTCAGAACAGAAACCTTCTGTAAGAAGAAGGCTGACTCGTCTACGCCCTCAGAGGGAAATACTCTTTACTCCACTACAATTATCTGACAGCTTTAGTTACCAGTAGAGCCGCGACTGACATTGCCTGTGTTTAAAAGACAACCAGTTTGAAAATGGTTAAAAGATAAAAGCGGCATTTACACTATATATATATATATATATATATACATATATATACATATATGAATGAACAAATGTTAACTAAATGCTACCTAACAAGGTAATCTAATGTGGTGCTACAAAGCAAAACACTAGCTAACTAGCTAACTAATACACATTAATAATTAGCTGGGTAGTTCCTTGATTATTCATTTTGAGCTAATTTGGGGTAATTCTACGTACTTGTGGTGGGATACGTACTTTTACTGTAGTAAAGGATCTGGATACTTCCTCCACCACTGTATGATTAGGTAAGGATATAAAAATCTGATTTCTTTAATCAATTTTTTTCTTCTCTGCGTTTATTTTATGTTGTTTTCAAGGATACAGCACCCCGCCCAGCTCCCAGAAACCTGATCCAGAACCAGGTCCAGACTGCAGTTTCCACCCCGGTCCAGAAGCCTATCAGTCTCGTCAGTCCTGGATCAGCAGGTATCACTGGAACCATGAACAACTTCCTGTTCAGTCAGTGTGTTCTCTTCCAAAGTGTTTCCAACGATGACTTTCCAGATGGTTCGGTGTAACAAGCAAACATTTGACATCGTAATAATAAAGAAACATTTTATGTGCAGTGGCTTCAGTGTCAGCCAGTAATGGCTGCCTGAAGCCTCCTCTCCCTCAGGCGGTGGTTCAGCCGGAGGACAGAGGCTTCCCCCCTGCCCAGCCCTGGTTCCCCCCTCAGCAGAGTCCATCCAAACGCAGGGTGTAAGTCCTCAGCTCACTCATTACTCAAACTAATATCAGCTGTCAGGTAAACCCACCAGATGTAACTTCACTGTTGTTTTAGGGCTGCCGATGTGCTGTTTGACAGCTTCGCTTCAGATGGAAGAATCAATGTCAACCAGTTCTTTGAGGTATTTTCACTCAGGACACACTCACACATCATTCAAGTCTTTATGTAAAGTAAACAAATAGTTGTCTTTCAGGCCATTTGGAGCTCCGGCCTGCACAGGTCCGACCCTCGGATCAGAGAGTGTTTCTTCCACCTGAGGAAACTGCAGGACGCCGAGGGATCAGTGGACAGAAACACCTTCCACAGGTCCTTCCTCAATGTTTGGACTAGATTAATTCTTACTTCTTTTCTCACTGCACTGGCTTCTCACTTTGACTCTATCTGGGTCTTATTGTTTTTCAATATTTAAGGCAAACCATTCAGAAAACAATAATCTACCGCCGATATTTTGCAGATGACACACTGCTTTATCTCCAGATAAAGTCTGATAATCAGACTAGTTGTGGTCGTGTTTCTGGATCTGGTGTCACTGATTTTCAGCGTCTGCCTGTGTTCTGACTTTGGTTGTGGTTTGGTAGTCATTGTAATCCTGATTGCGTTTTCTCATTGTGGTTCTGTGATGTGTTTTTCTGCTGTAGGTGCGTCACAGGATTTGTCTCTCTGATCCTAAAAGCTCTGCAGGGACGATTTGTCATCCCAGATTTTTCCACCTTCACTGAAGAAACTCAGAAATTGTTTTCAAGGTGTCGGCAGCTGTCGTCTGTACAGGTGAGTTCTGCTCTGACACCTGGAGAGGTCAACAATGACTTTCTCTCTAACAATTTAAAGGTGTGTAACATTGAGGAGGATATATTGTCAGAAATGTAATATAATATCCATAGGTAGGTTTTCATTAGTGTAATCACCTGAAAATAACATTGGTTGTGTTTTCGTTACCTTAGAATGAGACGTATTTATCTACATTATATGGTAGCCCAGAATGGTTAGTTTGAGAGAATTGTATAAAAACTTCTTGAAATTATCAGGAAAACTCATTTCTGATGGTTATTCACAGGAAATAATCTGCTCAATATTCATCCAAATCTCTGGTTTTACACAAACTTTCTGAGTTCACTGTTTGGGTTCATTGTACAGTTTTTCAGTCATTCTGTACTGTTATTGATATGCATTGAATATCATATGAAATATCCATAAAATATAGTCACTGAGAAAAAGGTTGGGAACCACTGCTTGAATGTAACTTTAGACCACAAGGGTTTTGGTAGAAACCTAAAAAAGAAGATGTGGGCAAAGAAACAAATTGGTAGGACACTCCCATACGACTGGAGCATATTTTTGGTGCTGCAGGGGAATAAAACCGGGTCAGAATTGGTGAATGAACTCATTTGATCCTTTTTCTTTTTTGTATTTGTTGAATCAGGAGAAGGAAAAGGAGAGCATGGACAGCACTAAGTGGGGCGTCTCAATCTGCACTGTGGATGGGCAGAGGTATGTCGAGTGGCTTCACATCAAAGTCAAGTTTTTGAAAACAATTCTTTTTATGTGATGGCCAGATTGACTAAACCCTAAAGTAGTGCCTGAAATGGACCAAAAAAGTTGCCCGTACCCTAAGTCCCAACGCATCCCTAAACCCTAAACCCAACATAACCCTACCTTAATCCTTTTGCCGTTTTTGTCCATTTTAACAAGGACATTTTCAATGCTGTTTTCTTAGCATTAAGCTAGCTGTGTTTACACAGTAACCAGTCATTCAGAAGTTTTTGAATTACTGAAGTCCAAACACTGAAGGGTTTTTGGGGGATCAAAGCATCAAAGTTATTTTCATGAAATTATTTTACTAATTATTAGACTGTTGTATACCTCTCAGAAAAAATAGAACGTCTGGACTTTGGTGATCTCAGTGGTGGGTATGGCTACGCTCGTCAGAGGTGGCGGTATGCAATAAGAAGTAAGGATACTCATGTGGACAAAAATCCCATTAAAAAGTGCTGTTACTCAGTACTGGTGAGTACTGACCCATTTCAGGCATTTAAGACACTGCCCTAAACCGAGATTCAGGAGTACATCGAGGGATCAGAGGACACAAACAGGTTTTATTTTAATATGAGTAAACTTTGGTCATCACTCCCTCTAGCCTCCAGCACTGTGAGAAAAGTGAATATACAATAAAAAGGATCTGTCTGTCTGTCTGTCTGTGTGTCTGTTAGGTTGTCTTTGGGAGACTGGGCTGGCTCTCTCGTTCTAGGTGAGGTGTCATGGCCACTGGTGTATGGCGTGGCGGTGGACCTGCTGGGTTCCGACCTCGTCCACAGATACGTTGGCGTGGAGGGGTACTCCAGATACGACTCTCCGTTTACTCTCACTAAAACAGGTCCAGGAACAGTCACCTCTGTCTTCCCTAAACTGGTCTGGATTAGTTTTTCTTCTGCTGGGATCATCTTGGCTAGTAGAAAGCTACCGTTAGCTATGTACCACTACATCATTTATTGTTGGCTATTATCAACACCCTTTGTCAGAATACAGAAGTTAGTATCATGGATCACGTTAGCTGGGGAAGCTAACATTAGCCGACTAACATATCAACTCACATAGTATTTTGCTAGCACTAACATTAGTGAGCAAGGTTCCTACATAGAAACACATATAAATCAGTCCACAAGTAGCAGAGGAAGTCACTGCGTTGTAACCTGTTTACTCACTGCTCACACACACTGATTCACACAGAAAATAAAATCTGACATATGGAACCTTTAGGATTAATAATACAAAGTATAATTGGGTCGGGTTGGGCCCGATAGGAGCTCTACTCTCAGCAGGTTGATCATATTCAGAAACAGTAAAATCTTTACTTCAAAATTCAAGTTCTTGACCTGAGAAAGTAAGTTAAGAAAAAGATAAACTACTATCTGATGAAATCGACCCTGAACAGCAGAGGGCAGTAATACTATTATTCCTGTGTGCAGGGATCCCTCACAGCCCACTCACTGAGACAGGAGCCATCGTTACTACATCTTTAATACAGGTAACTCACTCACCCTCCATCCATCCATCCATTAGCAGTGATATCACTCTAATGCCGTGTACTTTGTGTCTCCAGCTGGCGGGGAGGTTGAGTTCAGAGGAAGAGGAGAAGTACGACTCGGTAAGTGACACAGACAGATGGTAGAAACCGTAAACGTCCTCCCAGAAAGAAACTGACCGTGTGTGTTTGCACTGTAGGTGCTGAACGTCATCCGGAGGCTCTGCAACAAAGAGCACGCCAACTTAAACTGCACCAGGTAACCACAACCAATCACTGACCTGCTCCTGATGTCTGAATCCACCTGCAGCAACCTGAACCCAGAAACACTGAGTACCAGAGTTTAATGTCAGAAATGTACAGTATGGGTCCCCAGCAGTTAGACACTGACGGATACTCAATGTTTCTGGGTTCACAGTGGGGCTCTACAGACTATCTTCAAAATAGTTTCTATGTGTATAATATGTTTCAGAAAAAGGTTGGTAATAAAGACACCAAGTTGCTGTTCAGTGAGGTTTTGTTGTTGTTGTTTAGTTATCAGAGCAGCAGGAAGGCCAGTGTCCGACTCCACGCCCTGTCCTTCTACCTGCAGGAGAAAAAGGTAAAAACCCTTCAAAGGTTAAAGGTCATCAATGTCTGCTCTTCCTGCCGTCTCTGACTAATCTCCTGTCTGTCAGTGTTTTCCAGAGAAGGCCGACATTAATGCCGCTTTGGATCTAATGCTGCAGGTAAAACACCTCCAGTCTTCCTTTGGATTTATTGTCTTACATCCCAGCACATACACACACTTTCAGTAGGAACCTGAAGCACATTCACTGTTTGTAAGAGTTTATACCTGTGTAATAACGTTAAACAATAATGTATATAGTTGCTCTGACAAATGTGCCTCCTTTCAGATTCTCTGACACACAGATTGTTCATAAAAAACTGAGATTAGAAAAATGTATCTTAAAGTTAAAACCACAGATTTTTACAGAAGAAAGACACATGACAGTTGCATAATGTAACAGACAATATGTTCCTTGTGTTTACATTGACAGGAGAAATTAAAATTCCTACAAGAAAATATTAATGTTTTATTCGTGTTTAGCACATCAGGTGCACTGCAGTATTACAACAACAAACATTAAGGAGTTCGGTCTAGACCTGCTCTATTTGAAAAGTGTCCTAAGATAACTTCTGTTATGAATTGGAGCTATACAAATAAAATTGAATTGAATTGAATTGAAACATTCACCTTTTTTCACAGATGAAAAAAAATGTAAATCTTAGAAACAAAAATGAACTTGCCTTTTAAGGCTTCTGTATTTGTTCCACATAAATAAAACATTTTTTATTTACATAACATATGCCGTATTTAACATACAGAATCCACAGGATTCAGAAGTGCCTTTTAAATATTTTGTAGAAATATTTTTTTGGTTGAACAAAAGTGAATAAATTAAACTCTAACTTTGTTGTTCTCTGCTGTCGGACAGTGCGCCTCAACAGAGATCACCTGCGAATCAGGAGCCGCCATGGCTGCTTCGTTAGCCAATGGAGGCCTCTGCCCACTGTCAGGTGACCAGGTGCTGTCGCCAGCGGCAACGCGGAATATGCTGTCCATGATGCAGGTGGCAGGGATGAAGGATTACTCCACGACCTTCCACTACAAGGTCCAGTCTTCATCCGATTCTTCTTGTTTGTTCAGAGTTTTTTTTCACATTCATCTGATTCTCTGAGCTCGAGTTAAAGCTCCTCTATATATCTATCTGATCCTCCTGCTTGTTGCTGCAGACGTCGATACCGGCCGTGTCCAGCAGCCACGGCTCCCTGCTGGCGGTGGTTCCTGGTGTTTTGGGTCTGATGGCGTTCTCTTCTGAGTTAGACGCCTGTGGGAACCCCTGGAGGGCCGTCCACTTCTGCCAGGTAACACGTCTGTCTTTAAGCAGGCAGCAGGAAGCAGATTGTTCACTTAGATGTTTGACGTTGATGATTTTTGCTCTGTGGAGAAACGTTTGTAGATCCAGGAATGAAGATAAAGCAGATGATGCTGTTTTTGTGTTTGTAGGAGCTGATATCGACATTTCAGCTGCACAGTTTTGACATCAGGACTCCGTTCAGGCAGATTCTGGCCTACAGACAGTGGAAGGCTGAATCTGAGGTTCGTGTTCTGATCCCAGACCAGTTTCTCTTTCTACACGATCAGATGTTCTTTAAAGAGCCTCTTCTCTCTGCAGGGATACCAGATCATGAACGTCCTGCTGGCAGCTTTTAAAGGAGACGTCCAGGCCCTGAGGAGGTAATATTGCAATAATTACATAGTCACTTTAAAGGTCAAAGGTTAAAGGTAATGTGTTTCTATGTAGGGATGAGGGTCAGAGGATGTGACGTTTATGCTCCCGAGTGCCAGAGCGTCTCCAGCTAACGTGATCCACGATACTAACTTATGTATTCTGATAAAGTGTGTTGATTTTAACCAACAATAAATGATGTAGCGGTACAAAGCTAACGATAGCTTGATGATGATGCTCATGTGAGCAACAGGACACTGACTGCAGT